TAGGAGGAGGAGGAGGAGAAGGATGATGATGATGATGATGATGATGATGATGATGAGGAGGAGGAGGAGGAGGAGGAGGACGAAGAGAACGAGTAGTAGTAGTAGTAGTAGTAGTAGTAGTAGTAGGAGGAGGAGGAGGAGGAGGAGAGGAATGTAGTAGTTATGCAGCAGTGATGAGTGAGGGGATGGGGAGGAGGACCTGTGTGCATGCTGTTATGAGAGCATTGATGATAGCTTTACATCGAGTTCCAAGCTTGAGGACTCGAGCAGTAACGTCACTCTGATATGCCATCAGCGAAAATCATCCGCATCCCTTCTTCCTCCTCCCCGTCCTCCTCCTAATCCCCATCCCTCTTAACCCCCCCTCGCGACCCTTCTTTTCCTCTCCCTGCCATTTACCTCCTCCTCCTCTCTCTCCCTCCTCTCTCCTCTCCCGCCTCCTCCTCCCCCTGCTCTCTTCCCCTCCCCTCCTTCTCGCTTCGCTTTCTACTGACCTCCGTCAGCCCAGTTTTCCACAAGCTTCCCTTGAACGGCGGCATGATCTAAGGCAGAAGGCTCAGCAGCACAAGGGAGGGGAGGAAGAGGAGGAGGAGGTCGAAGAGCAGAGGAGGAGGAGGAGGACAAGGGAAGCAGATGAGGAGAGGAGAGGCTTGAAGAAGTGAAGGAGCACACCCGACACAAACGCATGCGTGAAAGAAAAGAACGGAGTGACAGAGGCAGCACAAGCAACACAAGGCGCAGAGCAAGATGTACGGACATAAGGAGGATGAGGAGGACAGATGACGAGGAAGAGGAAGAGGAGGAGGAGAAAGTGAGAATAGAAGCAGGAGATAGGGGGAGGAGGGAAGGAGAGAGCCCATGGTGCAGGAGATTGAGCAAGGGCAGAAGCAGGAGGAGGGGTAGGAGGAGGAGGGGAAGAAGGAGGAGGGGAAGGAGGAGGAGGGGAAGGAGGGGCAGGAGGGAGGGGCCAGGGGTAGAAATCACCTCTAGAGAAACACCAGACTCGAAGAGAAGAACGTTGATGACATGCTGACACACCTGCCGCGATCCAATGACCTCCTGTCCCTGTCCCTGTCCCTGCCGCTGCTGCCGCTCCTCCTCCTCCTCCTCCTCCTCCTCTTCCTTCTGCTGCTGCTGCTGCTGCTGCTTCTCTCGCGTCTGCTGCCGCAGCTGCCCCCGCTCCCACTTCCACACATTGTCCTTGACCTTGACCTTGACCTTGACCTTGACCTCCTCATCTTCCTCCCGCTCCTTCTCCTCATTGCTTGTCTCACCTTTCTCAACCATGATCGCGATATGTCGAGGTATTCCTTGATTTCCTCCATCCTGCTCTCGTCGCGTCACTTGAGCTCAAAGTTGATCTCACCGACTTGATTTCATCCCCATCGTCCACTGTCTCCTCCTTCGCCACTTCCTCCTCTTCCTCCTCCTAGCCACCATCACACTGTCACAACCGCATCATCGACTGATTGCACAACCTCTGCCTGCGTCAGCGGCAGAGACATCACGGAACTTCTTCTCGCAGCCGCGCGTGTCTGAGAAGGGGAGTGAGGAGGAGAATGAAGAATAAGGTCAAGACATCACATCGTTTGTCGCTTCCTCCGCTCTTCTCATGTTCTCTCTGTCCTTCTTCACTTTCTCCACAGCTTCGTTGGCAACCTTTCCCATTGTTATTCCCCCACCTCCCCACCCCCCGTCGGTTCTCCTCCTCCTCCTCCTCCTCCTCCTCGGCCACCGTCTTTGCTTCCACACTGGTCTGTGCAATCCGCTGGTTCAGATTCAAAACCTGCAGGATGAAGGGATCACACATCCTTTATACATCCTACGTTCCCCCCTCCCCCCTCTGCTCTGCTTCTCTCCTGGCTCCTCTCCTCCCTTCCTCGCTGCTTCTCTCGATTCCCCCCATCAACCAACTATCCCTGTCACCTCATCCTGTAGTTGTCGAACGCTCCCCTGCTGTCGATTTTGTGGAGGGACGAAGTTCTCTGTCAGAGAGGTTCAGCGATGGAAAGGCATAACGAGACTCATCGAGCAGCAGCGGACGAGTGGAGGAAGGACCTTTCAGTTGTTTGTTTGCTCAAGGAGAGCCGGGGGAGAGACAACGAAGTGGAAATGAGAGGTAAGAAGGAAAAGCAACGAGGATGAAAAGGAAGCGGACAAAACGAGGACAAGAACAAAAGAGAACGCATGTGAGCAGGATGAGCAGGTCGAGAAGGCGAGAAATCAGCTCACGTTTGTTTTCTCTTGGAGTGTTGTCCTGGTTGAAGCCACGAGGTTGTGAAGTCATCTCCAAGATATATCGTCAGCATACGGATCAGCATCAGCATCAGCATCAGATCAGCATCAGCATCAGCATCAGCATCAGCATCAGCATCAGCATCAGCATCAGCATCAGCATCAGCATCAGCATCAGCATCAGCATCAGCATCAGCATCAGCATCAGCATCAATATAAGCATACGGATCAGCATAAGCATAAGCATACGCATAATGACCATGATCATCATCAGCAGCAGCAGCTTGTCGTCGCATCACCATCATTATCGACATCGCACAACTTGAAAGTTACCGAAGGATCAGCGATTGCGGTATCTGCTGCTCTACCTTCTCCTAGACCCCCTCCTTCTCTCCATCGTTCACCTGCTCCACCACGAACTGAATTCTGATCTTTCATCTGTAAATTTGCTTCAGGATTTGAATCACAGCACGATCATTGAAACGGCGATGACAAGAATCGAGGAGAAGTACCATGTATGCCATGAAGATCGACTGCATCTGGAGGGACTGAGCGAGGATGAGATCAAGTTTGCTGGACGTGCTGTCTTGCTCCATCTCCTCTCCTTGTTCTTCTGCTCTCTCCTCCACAGCTTCAACTCTCGTCATCTATCAAAAGCTCTCAGCCGGGGTTGACCTCCTTCTCACAACCTGGGATGTCTTCTTCGCTTCCATCAAAGCTATCCTCAGCTGTTTGTTTGCCTCCTCAATCTCCATGAGCTGCATCTTCTTATTCTGCAGCTCCGCCATGATCTGATTATTCGTCAGGTTCCTCCTTTTTCCGGTCAGAGTCGCGAACCTCCTGGTGCGAACCTCCATCCTGCATCGTGAGCCCTTGCTTCGATCGCTCCTCCTCCTCCCTCTGTAACGCCATGCTTCTCTGCTTCTCCGCATCGAGGCGCTGCCGCATGAGCTGTAGTCTCATGCGTGTGACTTTCTCAAGGATTTCCTTCTCCTCCTGCATAGCTCGTCGCTCTTCCCGCTGTCTTGCCTATGTGATATTCCACATCCACCACTCGCCTGTCATCCCCGCATCTTCATATGCTGCATGGTTGGTTTGGAAGATCAATTCCTCCATCTAAAGCTCAGCATGTCAAGCGCCGCCGCAGCAACGGCCTTGATCAAGCCATCGCACCGTGTGGGGTTCCCCGATTGCCGGGCCAGTCATATGAGAAAAGTCCGCCTCAGGAGAATATGTTTTATCACAATGAGAAGAAAGGCAGCATGAAACATTTAGTGTCTGAGTTAGGATAGTGATTATTTCAGTGAGGGCAGTGATTGACCGGCTACTACTCGGCGGGCCTTGCCGGTGCCGCTCCGATGGCTCTTCATTACAACTATACTACTACCCCACCCACTACTACAATACTACCCCACCCTCTAGGCTGGCTAGAGGGATAACAGATACAAAAGTTTTTCATCCACCCCTACCCACTCCCTGCCTTTGCTATCAGGCTTTTTACGGTCGATAACTACGGGTCATCTAGCATGGAAGTTAAAGGGGTAATCGGCACTGCAGGGTAGGGTATAGATAGGTCGAATGAGGGGGTGGGCGTTGCCCTTGAAAGGCGCAAGCGGATCATGATACTCTCAGTGCAAGCAGGAGAGGGAGGAGAGGACGGGAAGGGAGGAGTCAGGAGACACCCTCTCTTCCCCAACTCCCTCATCTCCGACCCATGCTCGGCAGGAGGTGAAGGAGCCCGGCTTCTTGCCGAGGAAGGAGGAAAATACGACACAGCATGGCACTGCTTGTGTACGAACGCTGCCAAGCATGGCGACAGAAACTTTCTTGGCCACAGAGCTTTTCCGAAGGAGAAGGGAGGACCAAGAGGCGACTACCAGGTACTCTAAGTCAGCATGCTCGTGCTACGTAGCGAGTAGGGATGCCTGTTTTGATTTGTGGTCTCGGTTACCGCAAGACAAAGGGAGTGCCGAGGAAAGTGTGTACTCGGTTTCATTAAGTAGCCACGAGAGGAGATGGGACGAAGGAAAAGAGGATTCAGGTTGCGACCTATGAGAGGAAAGCATCCTCGAGGATACGGGTGTTGGAAGGAAAGCATCCTCAACTAATTCCTTCCTCTTCAGTGGCAGTCGTACAAGAGTGTTGCCGAGGACATCAGGACTTGGGGCATTGGGCTTAAAAACCTCTGCAACCTCAAGGCAACCCCCACCCCCTCCTCTCAACTGCCTGCCTGCCTGCCTGCCTGCCTGCCCGCCCGCCCGCCTGCCTGCCTTCCCTGACTCCCCTGACCTCCATGACCTCCTTCTTGACCACCCTTCCCTCTCTCTGCTGCAGGCCACACGTTGAGATGTGTGTGTTGCAGGAGACGCCGGGGAAGCGAGGGCCGGAGGGACAACCGTGCGTTGGAATCTTCAGCATCAACAGGCCAGAGAACTTCAAGATCCTCTACTCCATCTTCTCGCAACGCTTCATCGCTTGCCCTCTCTATGACACTCATGGCTCCAACACCATCAAGGTAGCTCAGATGCGACGAGGTGGTGTTGATGATGTTTGTATTGCGTATTGCCTCCTTTGTCTGTTTGAGGTTTATTTTCTGTACCTGTCTTTGTGTGTTTTCGTTCAATGCATCATGTGGTGTTGGAATTCATCTCTTGCAGGTATCTTTTGTGTTTCTGACAAGCTCTTCAGTTCATTCTTGATCAGTCTGAAACAACTGTAGTTTGCGCAGAAGCAAGCAAGATGAAAGGTGTAGAAACTGCAGCAAGCAGCTGCGGCTGCCTCCCTTCCCCTCCCCTCCCCTCCCCTCCCCTCCCCTCCCCTCCCCTCCCCCCCTTCTCCTCCGCTCCTCCACTTCTGCCATCTGCTCGTCCTTGTTCTCCCTCTGCAATTGGTATTGACGTATTCCTTTCAGTTCTGCTGGAGGGACGAGGGGCCGCATTGAAGTACATCGTCATCTTAGACGAGAACTTGGATGATGAGGAGAAAAGTGTGCTTGAGAAGCAGGCAAAAGACGCCAAGGTCACTTCCAACATCTGATCCATTTCCGATGCTGCTGTATGTTACTGGACATGAATGTCTTGTCGTGATTGTGATCGGGCGAGGAAGATGTTTTCGTTTGTGCCTGATGTTTGTGTTTTAGATCACGTTGTTCACCATCAAAGACTTGCGGGAGTCTGCGGACAAGACTCCTGGTTGCCTTGCGCTCGTTGATAGACGAGAGCTGAGCTGTAGCAGGGGAGACCTCTGATATCACTCCGGATGACTGGGCTTACATCATGGTAGCGAGAGGGGATGGAGAGGAGGGAGGGGAAGAGGATTAGCACCAAGAGGAAGAAGCTGAGGTAGAGGAAGAGGAAGACTGAAAGCAGAAAGACATCGAAGATTGGAACATTGATGCGAGCATGAGACGGAGAGGAGGGAGGAAGGGGAGGAGGGGAAGGAGAAGACGGAGAGGAGGGAGGGAGGGGAGGAGGGGAAGGAGAAGACGGAGAGGAGGGAGGAAGGGCGGAGGAAGGGAAGGAGAAGTGCTGACTTGTTTTGCAGTATACATCTGGAACCACCGGAAACCCCAAAGGAGTTTGCCTGACGTGAGAGGAGGAGTTGTTTCTCTTGAATCGCCTGTTCCCTTTTCTCTTCTGATTTCTTTCATCCTGGCAGCCACAAGAACATTTTGAGTGCGGCTTCCGGTGTCATGAGACAATCACCGAGGTACGAGGGTGCTGGTGCTGGTGATGATGAAGATGAGTGAAAACGATGAATATGGTGCTATTGCTGCTGTTGCAGCAGCTGCTACTGGTGCTGGTGCTGGTGCTGGTGCTGGTGCTGGTGATGGTGATGGTGATGATGGTTGTATCGGTGATGATGGCGGGGTGAGGAGAACATGAGGGTTTTTTTTTCTCGCAGCATTCCCTTCAATGAGCAGGATATCTACATCTCTTATCTTCCTATGGCTCACAGCTTCGAGATATGTATTCAGGTTTAGAGCATGCCCTCTCTCATTGTCCTCCTCTTCATCGATATCACCTTGTCCTCGCTCTGTTGATCTTCCTGCTTCTGATCGCGGGACTCTCCTACCTCATCTGCACTCGTGACGTTCTGTAGATCTGCATGGTCGCTGTCGGGGCGTCCATCGGGTTCTTTCAAGGAGACATTCGCCTCCTCGTGTCCTCTGACCTCCCGCTCCTCAAGGTGAGTGAGGGACTTGAAGCAGCCAGTGAGACGTGGACGAGGAAAGAGAGGGGGGAGGGGGGGAGGGATGCGATACGATCAGCAGGGGAGAAGGGGGATGGACTGAGAGAGATGAGATCGAGGAGGACAAGAGTTTTTTTTCTGACCTCTGCCCAGCCTACTCTGATGTCTGGAGTCCCGAGGGTCTACGGCCGAGTTTACGACAAAGTTATGCAACAAGTCGAGGTAGGAGGAGGTAGAGAGTAACATGAAGGGGACGGCAAGGAGAGGGGAGGGAAGAGTGGGAGGATGAGCTGATCTTCGCTCTTGTAGGAGAAGGGTCCCGTAGCTAAATTGCTCTTTGACACAGCCTTTGCAAACCAAGCCTGGTAAGAGATAGAAAACTTGCATTTACGGGATAAAGGAGAGGAGAGAAAACATGTGCGTGAAATGATGGAATGGTGCAAGGTGTATGGAGATGGGCTTTAGAAACCCTCTCTGGGATCTTCTCGTCTTTAATAAGGTAAGTGTCTTTTCTATCTTTCCTCCTCTTCCTCCTCCGCAAGTTGAAAATCTCCTCCTTATGTGAATCTACTCCTTTGCTCCAGCACTCTCCGCCTACTCTCCTCTCACCGTGTCGCAGATCAAAGAGGCGCTGGGTGGAAGAGTTCGCCTCATGGCGAGCGGCGCGGCTCCGCTAGGAACTGAAGTGCACAAGTTCATGCGGGTAGATGAAGAGAGGAAGTGAACACGGGCGGAGCATCCTAAGAGGAAGAGAGCAGAAGCACAGGAAAGATTAGCGGGGGCGGGAGCTGTGGACGAGGATAAGCATTAGCGCTAGTAGTAGGATGGACAGAGGAAGAGATTCGGAATGAAGGCACGAGGGGGAGGGAGACAGAATGTGGTCAAGGGGCAGGAGAAGCCGGCAGAGCAGGAGTATCAGGAGAACATCCGAGGAATCAAAGTAGGAGATGGACCAGGAGGAGCAGGTGGTGGAGGAGGAGGAGGAGGAAGAGGAGATCGTGGGGGAGAGTTTGACTTCACCTCTCAGACAGTCTTCGGCGTCCCCATCTGCCAGGGCTACGGCATGACTGAGAACGCAGCAGCTGCTGTGTGTCAGCCGCCTGAGTACAGCGCGACCGGGAACGTTGGGGGACCGGTGCCATGCACAGAAGTGAAGCTCGAGGATACGGAATACTACAAGACCACTGACGAGTATCCCAAGACGGCTCAAGAGTTCGAGGAACAGTTCGGGTTCAAGGGCGAGTTCGACCCCTCGCTTGCCGGCAAGAGGATGGTGAGAGGAGAGGTGTGCTTGCGAGGAAACAACGTCTTTCTGGGCTACTACAAGATGGAGGAGGAGACGAAAGAGGTGCTGGACAAGGACGGTTGGCTGCACACAGGAGACATCGGGATGTGGAACGAGGATGGATCTCTGTCTATCATTGATAGGAAGAAGAACATCTTCAAGCTTGCTCAAGGTTTCTCTTTTCATCTGTTTTGCCTGGCTGTGCGTGTCATGACATGATATGACGACATGAGACATGCGCGTTGCACATCAAATCCATGAGGCATTCGTTAATATCACAAGCTGCTGACGGTCCACTGGCAGGCGAGTATGTGGCTCCTGAGGTCGTGGAGTCAGCCATCTCTACCTGTAAGTGGGTCTCTCAGGTGAGGATGCGGTGATGTGGTGGATGTCAAAACGATGAAGCCTTTTGTGTTGATTCTTTGTTCAAGGTCTTCGTTTACGGAAATTCTTTTGAGAATCATCTCATCGCCATCATCGTCCCCTCCGAAGAAGTTCTGTCTGTAAGCAAACTCCAGATCATACACCTCCCTCTCTCATTCCACGTCAATCACAGAAACATGCTGAGCACTGCGGATGGACAGCAGACAACGGTGGCAAGATCAGTCTGGCGGACATTGTTGCGAAACCTGAGGTGGCTAAGATTGTATCTCACCTCGCCCTGCTTCTCTCCTTCTCCCCCCTCTTCTTTCAACCACTGCTCTGCTCGCTTTTACCCCATCATCTCCTCTTCTAGCTTTGATCTCGCCTCTTCATTTCTCCTCATTGGGTCTGCTTGCATCATTTCTCCTCACTGGGTCTGCTTGCATCATTGCTCTGATGAGTGGTTCAGATGAAGAAGCAAATCATGGACGACATCGTCGCCTCCTGCAAGTCCAACAAGCTCAGAGGCTTCGAGGTGCCCAAGGCAATCGACTTTGAGGCGCAGGTATGAGAGGCCTACATAGAATGCCAGTGGTGAAAAGTGCAAGAGAACTTGATTCTGACATGAAGAAGAGACGATGGCATTGATTGTTTTTAGGTCAATGACATGGGCTATGGATTTACCATCGAGAATGACTGTCTCACGCCTACGATGAAGTTGCGAAGACCACAGGTTAGAGTTTTGCATCAAGTTTTATTCTTGTCTCTGTCTTGGGTTTGTGAACTTCTGAGTTTCCGCATTCTTGTCCATATTCCTTACGGTTTCTTACATCTTCACTAGCTTGAGAAACGATACGCTGCAATGATCAAGAAGCTTTATGATACAATCAAAGCAGAGGCGGCATAAAAAACCGACAGAAGCCCATCGTCATATTAACAGTGCAATTAAAATATTGCTGAGACAAACTTCAAATGTGGTTTCTTCGCACTTCGCATCACCTGTAATGATGCTGATGAACCTGCCCATTTGTCTTTCTAATAGTCATATCTCATGCGCTGATGTTGTATGATCTAGGGTCTAGATCAATCTTGGTTCAATCGTGTTGCTTAGCTTCTCACTTACTGCATCCCTTTGTTTTCACTCCTGCCATTGCCTACACCTACCACCGTCACCACCCCTTTGGTAGGTAAGAGCACCGTCGTTGTACCCCCCGGACAAAGGCTGCTGACGGCCACTTATCTCCTATAGAGTACCACCCCACCCCTCCTTCTGAGCCCCTTCAACCCTCTGATGAGAGCCGAGAGATGCACCCATCGTTTCCCCCACTTGTCGGACCCCAACCCCAGCCCACCCCCCAAATGATATGCGACCTTTCGATTCTTTCTTGTACCCGGGCAGCAAATGAGGACCAGGGGTGGTATATGATAATCCTTCCACCCAAGTTAATTCCTACAAAACCGTCAACACAAGACCCCTACATGCGTAGGTAGCATTGCGATGCACCCACCCACCCTACACCCACCCACCCACCAGGAAACCTACCCACCCACCTACCCACCCACTTTTGCCACCAACTCAAGTCGCGCTTCAACGCCATGCTGACGACAGCTTAGGTTCATACTCCATCTAGATCGGCAGCTTGATTCATACTCCATCTAGATTAGCATCTTGATTCATACTCCATCTAGATTAGCATCTTGATTCATACTTCATCTAGATCGGCAGCTTAGATTCATACTTCATCTAGATCGGCAGCTTAGATTCATACTCCATTTAGATCTTCGATCTACCTGCCCGGGTCGCCTCTGCTCCATGCTTTGCTCCGCCTTTCTTAGTTCCTCCATGTCCCTCTACTACAACACATCTTCTTGTGCTCATGAAGTCACAACATGACTTGATTCTTCTGCTACCTGCCTTGGTTGATGCCCTCCTGCTTATATCTTCACTCTTGGCTTTCGTTTTTGTGGTTCCTTGGCTCATTTCTTTTGAGCCTGTAAGCCATCTTTCGCTAGTTTCTCTTCCATCTTGGCTTGATTGGTCTCACATGTGATAAATTGAATCTTGTAGATATGTCCACATCCTTTTCTTTTGGGCGATTCGCTCCATGCACTTTCAACTAATTGTGAGTCATGTGCTACGATCATCGAATTAGCCTCCTACTCCTCCATCCTTTCACATCTCACATTTTTGACCGAAAGATTTTGCGACGTGAAATATCACAGTGCTCAGCACGTTTTGTGAATCAAGTGTGCAGGTACTAGATGGGCAATCAACTCTGCTGCGCAAGGGAGAGGACGAAGGATCCGGCAGATAGACCTGTTCCACAGAAGGTCTATCTCAACCACAATCCAGCACAGCGAACTCCTGCTAATGAGGAGGTGCAACCTCCTACGGTACACAGCGCGACTCTCAAGAAGATAGTGCTCTCATCCAGCGTGCCAGCACAGCATGAAGAAGATCATTCACACCACGCCAAGGCGCAAGCAAGCACTCCCTTTGCTGACAGAGCCATTCTCCGTCGGTCGCCCTATGCCAGTGTGATGATGACTCCCGTTGCAATGCCTTACGCCAGCATACAACACACGAGCAATCCGACAGAAGAATCTGAGAATACGTTGCTGTAGGGAAGGGTGTAGGAATATCGGATGTACTCTAGCCGTGCTGAGCTCTTCTCTCTTTAACCGGTAAACTTATACCTGTCCATTTCATCTACTCGCTGGCGCTGTTGACAACTGACTTGATCGCTGTTCGGGGTCACAAATTTGTTTTCTTTAGTGATTCTAATGACTTTTGAGAGAAATTCATTGAGAAATTTAAGAAAATGAGAGTATTTTGAGCATTGTTTTCCCGTTTACGGTATATGCATATATCACAAACAATGTTTCACGCTGTCATTGCGTCCTTGCTGAAGATCTCTGCAAAGAGATATCAGGGCTGTTTTAAACCCACCTCAAGCGTCAAAAAGAAAGTTAACATGAAATCATCCTGTATGGGGTCAAGCTGCCGTTGTTTTCTTCGCTCTGGAACTTTATTCCGTTGTGTCCGTCTCTCTGGAAATCTTCAACCCCTTCTTGATCAAGTCCTCTTGCTTTGGGGGATAGAAAGTACCTGCGGTGAATTTGTTTCTGTCGATTCACCCATTGGGTGCATGTTGCCCTCCATGAATCATTTCCCATGTCAATGTACATGTGCGCAAGTCAAGACTTCGCCTGCCTGTCTTCTGTGTCGCTGTTATGCCCTTTGGGTTGCTCGCATGATCAGTTTATTGGTCTGCAGATCGTTTGCTGTCACTTTTCTCAACGTATGTCGTTCACTGTCTTATCACATTTTCGCCCTCCCTCTCCCCCCCCCCCCCCTTCCTTCCATCGCTTTCCTTCGACCCTCACTGGCTATTTTTTCGCATCCTTGTGACTGACCTCATGGTGGGCTTACAGGTTCTGATCATGAAGTCAGCAGCTGTCAGCTTCCAGTCTTGAGATCTATCGTCAACAAATCACTACCGGTGATTTGATAATGAAGAAGACTGGGAATGAGAGGGTAGGGGTTATACACTTTATTCCTGTCCCGTCATCAACCTCTTCACCTTGGAGTAAACATGAGAGCCTTCAAGGGCCTTCGCACAACTCCTGTTGCCCCCCCCAGCCTTCCGCCTTCCTCCTCCTTTACCATAATCTTTGTCAAAGTGCTTGTCGTAATCTTCTGCTAGGTAATCTGTCTACGCTACTACCACATTCTCGAGCTTCAACTTGCTTCCATTTTCACCGTTGCCCAGTCTCCAGTTCTTTTGTCAGCAACGATATTATCTTGGATCCGACGCGATTGTGTTCTCCTCTCAGAACCATACTTACTGTCTTGCATTCACTCCCTGGCGATTCAGATGGAATCCAGCATCAAGGACAAGGATTCAATGCTCAGTCACTCTAGCGCCTCACTGCCTCCGACTCTCCCTCGCCTGCCTTCCTACCCATGTGAAGGAACTGGGCCAGGAACAGATAGCATGGTTAGTTCTCCGATAACATCTAACGACTACAAAAGGGCGAGCAGCGAGTTAAGGAAGAAATGCATCGCCGACGCTTATTTTCTTGAAGAGCTAAAGTTGGATAAAGACAAAGAGGAATATTTGAAAAGTCTTGTCAGATCGGAACAATCAGAAAAAGCCCCGATAAAGAGGAATTCTTGGAACACCCGCCCAATTCCAATCCGGTGTACTGGTGATGTGTTCGCAAGATCTGCTAGCGCTCCTACCAATATTCAGCACTCAAACTATCCCCGGGTCAATGAACGCGATATCACATTGACAAAAACGAAAACGAAACCAAAAAAATTGTTTGGAATGCTGGTGTCATTTCTCCAAACGATGTGGAATTTTATTTTGCGATCGTTGCAAGGGGAAAAATCAAAGAACAAAAAGATTACAGCAACTTCAGATGATTCAGATTTTGCGTTCAAAGGGAAAACCACGAATCATGCTAATGATCGTCACAGAAGATCATCAATCGGATCTCAACTTCTTAGATCTCTCTCCTCCGATAATCAACATCTTCTTTACACAGATGCAGCTCACTTAATCTTGTCACAGTAGTGCAAATGAGTCGAATATTTTTGTTATTGAACATGAGAAAGGACAAGTTTCTTTGCTACTTGGTGGCTAGTCGTGACTCTTGAAAGGATGATGTCAAACACGAACCCTTTTGACTTGAATGTTCTTGATTTCGGCAAAAGAATCCTTTCGCTTGCGAGCGTCCCTATTGTCTTTCTTTGACAAAAACTGCACAGCGTCACTTACGTCCACATCTGCGGAAATTTCCTCTACAAGATGTAATATGCGGCCATACGAAATTTGATTTGTCAAGTCAAATTGAATCACTTCCTCAAGAAGAATTTTGTAATTCGATTGAAGATTTGCACATATTGATTTGGCAGAAAACTCGGTTTTCATTTGGAACATTTCCTGCATTTTTATGTCAGGGGCGATTGAAATTGGTTTCCCTTCTTTCAAATGTTAGATGTTACCTTCTCTGTACACCCTGTCCATGGTAACTTTTCCTTCATAAGTTTTATCAAGGAAATTGTGAGTGAATAGATGTCATCGAATTGATTGGGCTTAGATCCCTTCATCAATCGGGGGCTGACAAATTCAGGGGTTCCATCATAATCTAAGAATTCCCCTTCTTCATCTTGAGAATCCGCTTCCAAGCTGCTCGATGCCAAACCAAAGTCTGTTTGAAATCAAAAACATACATATCCGGCCAAGCATACAGATCCCAACCAATGAGAAAATATTCCAGGTGGCCTCGGCGTATTCGAATCATAATGTTTCCAGCTGATATGTCTTTGTGAAGCATTCCAGCGTTGTGGATGTCCTGCAAAGTTGAAAAGAGCTCTGGTCCAGCATCGGCAGCCTTAAAGCAAAACATTACAAAATAACTTGGAGGTGACTCAAAGGAGGATTACAATGTCAGCGCGGAAGATTTCTTCATCCTTCAGGATCGAAATCAAGTTATCTGTGAATACTGTCACAAGAATTGAGCAGAAAAGTTGACTTCTTACCGAAGCTATAACTCAATAACTGCTGGACCAAGACAGAATGGCCATGAAAACCAGTACTTGGATAATCTGTTTTTTTTGAAAAGAAATACACTTTGGGTACATTAATTTTGCTAGAAAATGTTTTGAGATGTCTCAAGACAATGTACTCATTTTCGAGTTGCCTGTGGACACATACAATCAGTTTTAGCACATTCATACATTAGAAAACTCTTGCCCTGATGAATCTTCTTCTTGATCCGATCCAGATGTTATTTTACCCTTGTTTTGTTGAATTCTTGCTATTTTGATCGCGACGAATTTATTTGTAACCATGTCCTGTTATATCGCCATCAAATTCTAAGAACCAAAATTTACAAACCATACTTTTGCTTTGAAAACCCGTCCGAAGCTCCCACTGCCAATTTTCTGGACGATTTTCCAGCGATTCATCACTGCGAAGAGGGTCAATATAATATGAACAATTGTTCATGTGTCATCTCGAACATGTCGATGGAGTGTCTTGTTCGTGGCATTCATTCTGAACAAGCTCTGTTTTCTCAATATTTGCAGTAGAGCCTGGTTTCAATTGAAAGAGGAGTAAACGTGCATCGATGCATTTTCGGGCATCTGGATTTCCTGGAAAGGCCCACATATGTACACGATTCTGTCAGGCACGCCTGTAAACGTGTGAAGGCTGTTCACAACCATGTTTCAACAATTCAATCATCTCAGACAACATCCATTTATGATTGGCTTGCCTGTACAAATAAGCCCAACAACAGCACAGGTTCTACTCTATGTGTTTGCATATAATCTATTCCATGCATTGGTTGTTTTGCCCTATCATTGTTCAGCATCTTGCCTCTTCTTTCGAGTCTCCATACGGTTAGGGTCCAATGCACATCCTCCTGGGCATGGTTTTCCTTCCACGGAGTGCCACAAACTTTCCACGGTTCGCGCCAACTTCCGAAGTTCCAAGCGCGGCCCGGGCCGGGCCCGGCGCGCCGGGCCGCCGCCCGGCTAGGGCCGCCAGTCACTGAATGGCGGCGCCCGGCCCGGCCCGGCCACTCGGCCCGGCAGGCTCATCATTGTGTGACTGACCCGGTGACCCGGCCGGGGCGGCCGCGGAGTCCGATCGATCCGATCATTCGCACACCGGCGTGGCACAGTGACACTGCCGTGTGCCAGAGTGTGACAGTGACCGTCGGACCGACCCCGCCTGAGTGTCAGGTCACCGTCAGTGTGGCACCGTCACGGTACAGCAGTCCGATACGGTCACCCGTCGACAAGGGCCCGCGGGCTTCAAGGCTTCAGGCTCAGCTTGCCGCCCGCCCGGCGCCGGCAACTTGGCCGTGATCGGACTGAGTTCAGTGATCGGTCCGTGGCATCAGGAGACGGTCGAGGAGCGGCGTTTTTGTTTCGGTTTTAAAGCTTTCCAAGTTCAGAAGCTCTCTGGTCGCCGGGTATTGTGGAACGACAACGTGACGAACTGTGTACTAAATTTAAAGTGATCATCACTGAGTCAGGCTTTTCAGAATGCATGCCAGTGGCTTGGGAAAACATAGGCAAGGGGAAAATAATCGTTCAATTCCCAAGCATTCCATCGAAACTTCCAATGGTCGATTGCATGTAACGGCTGCTCTGGCACTGCGAGAGTAGCATATGTTTGGCATTGGACATGTCAAGTCCCACCACTTTCTCATATGAACTTGTGTAAAACTGAGATTGCAGGGCCACCATAGCTTTTGAATCTTCATGTAAGATAGTTAATGCAGATCCGAGCTAACTTATTACTCCTCTTTATTTCATATTGAATCGACACAAGTACCTACTTTCCTTCAGACCTTGGTGGCAACGCACTTCTCACTTTCAAGTTTTGCTGCATTCCTTTCAAATGCCTGAGTCCTACAGGTGCTAAGAGCGGCACACGAATGAGTTTCCGGCAATCGATGAGAGCCACAAAACTTGTGCTTGCAATACTTACAATCTCCAATGATCATGGCAGCTCTTTCGTTGCAACCATCGTGATCGCAGACAGTTTTCTTTGCGCCTCCACGAAGCCTCAGCACAAGATGCAGGGTTGATTCTTTTTGGATATTGTAGTCTGCCAGAGTGCGTCCATCTTCTAATTGTTTCCCTGCAAAGATCAGACGCTGCTGGTCAGGTGGAATGCCCTCCTTGTCTTGAATCTTTGACTTGACCATGTCAATCGTATCCGAGGATTCTACCTCAAGAGTGATGGTTTTACCGGTGAGAGTTTTGACGAAGATTTGCATCGTATCCAAGGAGAGTGTATTGGAGCAGACAGTAGTGGTGCACAGGAGGGCTTGACGAGTACGTGCTGAGAGCTCCTTGATTCAACGCTCCTGGGTCTCCTTTTGTTGCAACTCCCCGACACCTGTCTTTTTCCAACCCTACCCTCACACAATCATAAACCTTCAATGTACCCTACCCCTACTATTTTTGAAGATTCATTCTACTTCTTCGGAATGAGGAAGGGTTCTATGGAGTACCCCACCCTCTCTACTCCATCAGTTCTTACCTACTATACCAAAAGTCTAGAAGATGCTAGGACCCCTGAGATACACTTTCGTATGTGTTGGGTCCTAGTATCATTTATAACGATTTTTACTACACAGACAATGACTAAAAATATCGATGCCGGTTACAGAGGCGTTGAAAATTGGTTACATATTTTAACCGTTTCTTGAAGAGCCGCCAAAGTTGGGTAATGGTTGACTTCTGAATGAAACTTGTACACTTCATGAAGTACCCAAAGAGTTACAAGCTACTATGACGATGATGTATAAAACATTGCATGCTTGCTTTGGAAGTTGAGTGTGAATGGGTCATTGAGGATAGTATGCTCTTGAACAATAGGGTACAATCCAGCATCTAGTGTTTGATTTTTGGACGGCAAGAAATCATTTTAGACTTTCTTTTTCAAGCAAGGACGCACTCGTGCTTTCTCTGTCGTCCCAGCAATTTTATACTCGAAAATTTTCCAAGCATTGTCTCGACAGACTCTAACGTTTGAACTCATGGACAGGCGATGGCACCTGTACAAAATAGGAAGGGCGTTGCTGTAACAACTTCGCTGCTGGTCTTGCTTGCAGTTACTGGTAACGTAGCGAGGATCTCATTTTCATCTTCTGATATCTTTCTAGCAAAGCTTGCTTTTGTTACGCTTGGACAAACAAAGGCTGCGGTTTCTCTCCTCGCCGATGGCACCGGTAGCTTTACCCTACATGAGCTGGAGCGCGATAGATCTCAACTGCAGTCAATGCTTGCAAGAGTAACGGAGGAAGAAAAAGAAAAAATCAGGGAGAAGGCACTCAAGGAAGAGAGGAACGAAGAAGCTAAGAAGCTCAGGCGGGAGCAGCAAAAATTAGCATCCCATAGCAGATTCAAGGGAGACTATGGCGTCAAAACCGACGAGTCCATGGTCAAATGGATCCTGGGGAAGTCTGACAAAGAGCGAAGCCAGCAAGAATTGTCAAGACGAGCTGCTATCTTGCAAAAATCAATATCGAAGAACATCAATATGCGCAAAGATAGGGAAAAACAGATTGAGAGTGAGGCCGCAATAGAGGTTATGATTGTCTGTCACTGCTTATTTGCTTCTGAGATCATAAATTTAGTTAAGGAAGGAAGGACTTATCTCAGGTTCTCCATCTATCAACTTGAAGAGACCAAGCAGCGATGAAGTTGCATTCAATGTTTTCTATTTGGTGCTGAAGATTCCGCAGAGACAACTAAGGTCATTTGATGAACACCTCAAGGAGAACAATCAGCTGCTAAAACAGGAAGTGCTGGCGCTCAATGTAGTCGTTTATGAATGTTTCTGGGCTAATTCTCATAACTCTGCGTACAGAACCAAGCAAAGCGATCGAAAGCGTTGAGACGTCATCGAAAATTAGGGCCCGGAGGAGAGGTGGAAGTCCTGCTGTTGTGAATGTTTCTGAATGTCAATGACAGACTGGCCTCGCCCACGACCTCTCGAAAGTTGGCGTTGTCGTGGACTCTTGGGGACCCATCACTTCGGATGTCAGCACAAAGCCAGGTAAGCGAGCTCACCTCTTTCTCAATGCAGTTCGCCGTTGGGTTTCTCATACTGCAGTAGATCCGCGGGATAATTTTGCGAAGCGTCCTGGCTCACACGAGCAGGTGGTATCACGAAAGACTCTTGTAAGGGTAACAGCAGAGAATGGGAGAGACATTGACATGCTCTTAGCAAAAGCTTCGCATCCTTCCCTCGGATAAGATCAGTCCTGTCCGTCAGCAAGTGGTACAATTCGGACTCTCTGACTTTGCTAACATGTATGATGACAGCTGAGCGAGAATGAGCTTGAGAAGGACCTGGGGTTCAAGGTGATGCAGGAGTACTTCTAGCTCAAGTCGTTAAATTTATTCTCAGGGATCGTTCATGTATTCTCATTCCTTCTCGCATGCTCAACAGGAGAGGAAGAAGCCTTTATTCATCTGATGTACAATAAAGCATGCTTTAAATCGAAAGTTTTCGGAGAGATTCTCAAGAAAGTTGGATCTGAATATCTGCCACGTTGGCTTCTTGTCCGAAATGTTCTTACCCACTCGGCGGCTTGAAGTCAAGCAGGCCCGCCAGTTGCTTCGAATCTTCAAAATTTATTTGCAATCTCAGGAATTCAATGATCGTCTCCTTGCTCAATCATACGAGCTTCAAGACCGCCTGGTTTCCGCCCTGTCCACCTCTGTGTCAGCAATCCAGCGCTTGAAGCCCCTCCCTGCACCGTCTAGCGCGCAGACGTCTCCGCGCCTGGCGAGTTCTCCCACCCCTCCCATCCCTCGGCTGATGCAGACGCTTGCCCTCCCGGTTGAGTCAGACCCTTCGTCGATTCCCGAAGTTCCGCCTCCAGCTTCTCTCTTACTGGGCCAGAGAGACTGATACCTCCGTTACCAGGTATTCGTACTTCTTACACGCAGCAAGATTCCTCTGGTGACGCGTGCATGTCGCTGATTCCTCAGCCCACGCCCGTCAGTCCCTCAGCCTTTGATTGGTGACAAACTCCCGAACCTGAAGCCCAGAACGTCCATCACCCCCTTTCTTGGTCAGGCTGATTCTCAAAGCATTCACAGCTGGCACTCTCAGATGGGGCGTGCTCTGTCTGTTCTTGACGACCTGCGGCTCACATCGCCAAGCTCCAGCAACAAGTGACCAATCTCTGTCAAGGCGTCAACGAATCGATCACTGATTATACTCTTCGGACGCAACGTTATGTTGACGAACTTTTACTCTACGAATCTGAGGCTGTCGTATTTCAAGAGCACAATCTTCTTCAACAATTCGCCAATGGATTCCTTGACCCTGATCTCCGCCTTGTCATGGCCCCCATCGCGCACATGCATCCTGCTACCGCTGCCACGGTGTCGCTTTTGGCACATAAAGCTTTCGCCTTCGTCAAACCGTCATCTCTGGTGTCTTTGTGCCCTTCAACTTCAGAGGCACAGTGAGGGCCGAGTCCGATCCAGGCCTCCGACTGGCTTCAAGACTCAGGCCGCTCAGCCTAGTACGGTCCGCCTCCGACTTGGGGTGGCGGGCCTCCGACTCCCTCCGACTCTCTCCTCTGCCACGGACTCCATCGATGTGCCCGTCAAAATCGAAATCAGTAATTCCTTGCCGCTAGTAATGTTTGCGTTTCACTGTATACTTGCACCGCCACCGCTACGATACTCTTCACTGCGGCTCAGCAGACTGCCTATACGCAGGCGAATGTCAGGTATATCCTGAGTCTGACAAGAACTCGTTTCTGGGTTGCGGCCCGATGCTATACAATCCGCTATCGCACATACAAATTCTCCGCACGACGATCCGTCTGACTGTTGCGGTACCTGTCACAGTGTGTCCGGGGTCGGAACGGTGTGTACAACTTGTCATTCGGCAACTCAGCTTGTCACCTTATCTGACGTCAGGTGTGAACGAGAACTCATGTTTGCACTCAACAATCAGTTTCAGTTTCATCCATGCTGGTTGCCAATAGCTGGTTTCTGGTAGATTCAGCCTTCATTCATTTGACGCTGCCAATCCATTACCACAAAACCTGCGCGTTGCATGTACTTGCATCAGCGACAATCCGATGAGTACAATATACATATCCACTTTCTATGTCCTTCGTACAATCCTTGTGCATGACTTTCATAGAGTCATATAACCTGGTAATAACCGTCAACGATACTGTATGTCGCTGCTAAGTGATAATTTCATTACGTGACTGCCACATGACAAGCTGATCTCAGATCTATGGCAACGAGACCCCAATGCTCCTGTTCTCGGAGTACTCTTCCCCTTCTCTCCTTACTTGGGACTCCCAGCGAACGGTTCGCTGCCTCTAACGTCACCTTCCATCCCGCTCGCCAGTTGAACAGAGAATGTAGGAATCATCAGTGTCGAGTCATGTCAACACGATGTCCGTGGTTGGCCACCATATATGCCGCTTCATGCACTTGCAGCAATCAGCGTGCACGGAATCTGTCACCTGCAATGATGTGATCTGTCACACACCAGTCATCACCGGCACGTCACTGGCTTTGTTCGCGCACCTTATCTGCATCACCATAGTGGGCGATTTCCTGAATCAATTTGGTGTACAGGTATGTCCCACAGCGCTGGTTAAAAATCAGTACGAGGACAATCAGGAGAGACGAGGAGGCTTGACTGTCGCACAGTCCAAACGGCGAGAAGAGAAAAGACAGCGAGAACCAAACCTATTCCTGCCGACTGCTGTCCCCCAAACTTAAGTACCAATGAATAGTTGTCCCAGTACTGATTTTTAACTTAACTTTGAGTAAAGTAAGAGCTTGGTTTCTGTATATCGGATCCCGCAGTACGAAATGGCGGAAACCAGAGGCTGAGGATGCTGTTTGGACACGAGTGTCCAATACGGAGAGCTCCCACTGCGACTGGAACTTGACACAAGTGCTGGAAACGTGGTGGCGATTTTCATGCAGTATATGCCAGCTTTCGAAGTGAGGATCCTGGATTTTGTGGTTGTAAGTCGCCGCCTCCTCCCAGCGATAATGTGCAGTCAGCGATAGCAATTGACGAATCGGAAGGAGATGGCATGCCAGTATCCTCTTGCACGTCACAAGTAGATGATGGGATAGGGGGAACAAGCTCGATGTCTCAAAATCCCACTGCTGCTGCAAGAACCAACAAAGCACCAGCAAAGAGAAAACATTCTTCTACAGAAGCTGAGTCTGCTTTGTGGGACAACTTACGTGTACAGGACGAAGCAGCGCTCGAAGCATCAGGGGAAGCTATCCGCGAGAATACGACATCGAAGAAGAGCAGGAAGATGTATACCAGCCCATGATACGTCTTCTGCAATGGCTCTTTGTCAACAGAAAAGAAGTTCTCACCAAGGAGTTGATGGAGCTCATTGAAAGACAGAATATCACCAACTTGCACTACGTTCCCGATAAAGATCTACTGCATGATATCCTGACGCGTCGTGAAATCAAACCCATCGACTTTGAAAATAAGGAATCAACCGACCCAAAGGGAAAATTTACATCCACAGACGTTTCCTTTCGTTTTCAGGACAACCTTCAGCAGTCATAGAGTGCACTAGAGCAATCACTGCTGTGTTTACTAGAACACGACGAGGAAAGAATACTGAATAGAATACTGCTGTTGGCTTCTACATAAAAAGCCTTCTCCTGCTATTTCAGCCGGTAACTCCCTCATCAATGTCGCCGCTCTACCCTCGCGGTCTGGGATCCATACCGAACACCTGAGCTTCGATCTCTTCATTGCCGCGTGTCCACCCGTACTCTGCAAGCATGCCTTTATTTTCCACATTCTTCACGCTGAACTTGTAGAGATTCTCCTTGGGAACGACAAACACTATCTCCACCTTCCAGCCTTCCTCCTTCCCAATGCCCAAAAGTTGCAAGCACTGTGCCATGTATCGCAGTTTAAGGTCATGCGACTGCCCAGTCGTCACCTGCACGAAGCGCACAAAGTTTTCACTCCAGTCAACAATCACTGCATCGTAACCCCCCTGATTCCATTTCAATGGCTTCAGGCACACTCTTGTTACTTTCATCTTGTCCCGCAGCTTCTTGATTTCTCTTGTTTCCAGACTTTTCACGTTACAGCTTTTCCAATCGTCGACTTTCTCTGGATCGTCGTGTGTCTCTGACCTCATGATAAGCTGCATCCCTGCCCCTCGTCCTATCCGAGCAAAGAACAGCATCTCAAACAACACCCCCCGAAGTGTCGGATTCTCAGTTGCGTCAGAGAGTTCTTCAATCTTCCTCACAAACGATTCTCCAAGCTTCTGTGCTAGCTCCGTGGAAACAAACCTGCTGACGAGCGTCCAGTGCACCTCGTCTCCGACACGATACTTCCCATGCAGGCGATTCACAGCATTGTTTGCACGCTCTCCCATCCCCATGTCAAACAGGGACGCAAAATCAGGAACAGCCTGTATCCCGTCACGAAGTTCTTGGATCGCTTGATCTGTCCTACGTTCAAACATATATCGGCATGATCCTCCTACAATCTGATACTTTGACTCGATTTCTCTCGACCTTCTCTCTTGTTCCGTCTCATCCATGCTTCCCTCTTCTTCATCCAAGCTCCATTCCATCACATCAGCCACACTCTTATAGAACGCGTCGTACCTACAGGCTTCCAGATACTCTTCCATTGCCCACGAATACACCATCATTTCTTCGACATTCTCATTCGCATCTTGCTCGGAATTCTTCTTTGCTCGAGAGCTCATCGATGTCGTAATCACAAGCCGCCTGTTCTCCCGTTCAAGATGAACCCAATGCAGGCAAGCACTCAGCACAAAGTCATGTACTTGCACCCCCTGTAGGTAACCATCTATAGATACCAAAGACTTCTTCCTGCTTGGTGCCCATTCTCTGAGAAATTTCTTTATCCAAGCCACCGCATTGTCGGCAGGCATCTCACACTTGCTCAATACGCCATCATCAACCTGTAAAATTTTGACAATTCCCCACTTCCACAGCCGAACGCAAATCACCCTCCATCCCTCCTCCATGCCTCGCGATTGTATGAAGGACATCGTCGTCGCAGTCTTCCCCGTCCCCGGAGGCCCTAGAATCCAACCCAAACACCCGGCCTTGCACACCCTGTCGTCAAGGAAACGCCACTGCTCATTGAAGCAATCTCGACAGTACAGCACACGCTCCACAGCTTGTGCCGAGCTGATTGGATCAAGAAACAATCGATCGAGACAGAAGAGCTTGTTCGCCTCTCTGTGCCCCACCAGATCACGATTCAAGGTTTTCTCTGTCCAAAATGCGATGTCTGCCTCTTTCTCCCGGACCTCTGCCCTCTCATTGTCAAGCTTCTCCTCCTTCGCTCGGAGGTACTGCTCTTGCTCCTTCCTCTCCTTGTCAAGCTCCACCTCCTTCGCTCGGAGGTACTGCTCTTTCTCCTCCCTCTCCTTGTCTAGGTTCTCCTTTTGCAACCGGAGGTATTCCACTGTATCATTCCTCTCCTTGTCAAGCTTATCCTCCTTCGCTCGGAGGTACTGCTCTTTATCCTTCCTCTCCTTGTCAAGCTCCACCTTTTGCAACCGGAGGTACTGCTCTTTCTCCTCCCTCTCCTTGTCAAGCTTCTCCTTTTGCACTCGGAGGTACTCCACTGTATCATTCCTCTCCTTGTCAAGCTTATCCTCCTTCGCTCGGAGGTACTTCACTGTATCATTCCTCTCCTTGTCAAGCTCCACCTTTTGATCTCGGAGGTACTGCTCTTTCGCCTCCCTCTCCTTGTCAAGCTCCACCTTTTGATCTCGGAGGTACTGCTCTTTCTCCTCCCTCTCCTTGTCAAGCTTATCCTTTTGCAACCGGAGGTACTGCTCTTTATCCTCCCTCTCCTTGTCAAGCTCCACCTCCTTCGCTCGGAGGTACTGCTCTTTATCCTCCCTCTCCTTGTCTAGGTTCTCCTTTTGCACTCGGAGGTACTCCACTGTATCATTCCTCTCCTTGTCAAGCTTATCCTCCTTCGCTCGGAGGTACTTCACTGTATCATTCCTCTCCTTGTCAAGCTCCACCTTTTGATCTCGGAGGTACTGCTCTTTCTCCTCCCTCTCCTTGTCAAGCTTATCCTCCTTCGCTCGGAGGTACTTCACTGTATCATTCCTCTCCTTGTCAAGCTTCTCCTTTTGCTCTTGCCAGTATTTCTGTTTTGGTTGAAGTTTCTTGATTCTCTTGGTCTCTTCTTTTCTGTCCTCCCTTTGTGTATTCGGGGTCAGCTGCTCTCCATCTCCAGCCCTTCTCCCATCTCGCCTGCGCTTGGTCATGACAGCCAGTGGTAGCCATCCGCTTTCAGTGGTGCTTTGAAAAAAGTCGGTCTAATTTGAGATTATGTGATCAGATTAGAATATTATTGCAGATGGCTTGAAACTTATAACTTCCTGAACCCTACTAGGTGTGTCCGGTACGCTAATGTCGGTATTTTTCCCGGCGAAGTTCCCTAGCCAGTCATTCTCAATTGATGTGTTGCTCTTGTGGTCCACCTTGTTATTCTGGATGTAATCTCTTAGGCCTGCCGTTCACAATATATCATCCATCTTCCATTCCTAAAAGCCTGAGATCTTTACCTGCCTGTTTCTGATTGAATGATACCTTATGTTGTTATTGCATTCTGTATCAATATACAATCGTTCTGCTAACCTTACAACCCCGGGTGTATAACTAAAGCAACACTCCTTCACCAAATCATGCACATATTCTTCTCCAAAGCTCTTTAGGTTCTCTACAGTTTATCTTATCGATGTAAACATTCTTTAGTGACAAATCTAGATTGCATTTGAGTGTTTCTATGCTCTTGTCACTCTTGATTGATTTACAGATGTTCTTTCTATCTAGGTGTCTCCTAAAATTGAATAATTTATTTGTTGAATAATTGCACCTCTCACAATGAAAACAATTCATCCTTGTTCTGAATGTTTGTTTAGGGTTTAGGGTTTAGGGTTTAGGGTTTAGGGTTTAGGGTTTAGGGTTTAGGGTTTAGGGTTTAGGGTTTAGGGTTTAGGGCCGGTTATTTCAGGCACCATGGCTGCACGCGTGGTGTAGGGGAAGCTGCCAGGGCGCCAAGGAAGCTGCAAGCGAGAGGTTTGTATACTTGAAATAGCTTTCTAAGTATGGTTCTTCAGTATGATGAAAATGTTCGCAACCTGCTGTATCGGAGATCATGCCAATACACGCAGAGCGGACTTGTGGATGCCTCTGTCCTCGAAGCTGATCTCGTCGAGAGGGTGAAGAGCTTCGCGAAGCGTTATCCGAACAGCAGGACAGCCCAGGCTTGCAAGGCTGTGGAGGGATGCACCCCCGACGCTATTGCAGAAGCCATCCGCTCGACATGTCAGCAGGCTCGACGTGACAGTGAGCTTCTGCAAGAAGCGATGACTGGATGGAGTGACGCATCCAGAGAGTGGTTTATGCAGCAGATTGAAGAAGCCAAGAAGGAGAAGGTCGAGACATACACCGCCTCAGCAGGCAACGAGGTGACTTCCTTCATCTC